CACCAGAAAATATTTAGATTTTAAACATTCTAAATTAATATTAAATTAAATATGCTAAACATTTAAACATTAATAAATATTATTCATTAAATACTTATAAATATTATAATATAATATATTATAATTCCATTAATATTATAATATTATAAAATAACATTACATTGTTAAATATTTTATTTTTTTCTACTGGAAGAAATGTATATACATATGACTCTATCAGGTATAGATTTTCAGATTTTCATCGCATGAAAGAAAACACTTTAAGTGATTTTATCATACACACATGCAATATTTAAGCGTTGTGGAAACGCCTTTAAAACATGAACATGATTTTATGTTAAATGTGCATTTGTGACGCTGAACACTTGCCTTCTAGACTTCTATGATAAGTGTGTTACTGTATGCAAAATGATGGACAAGTTGACATTATTTTCTGTGGTAATCAACATCAGGCCATAGATGCTTTACTCCTATCCAGTTTAAAGTTCACTTAGTCATTTGTTTAAGCCAGTCATGTGACAAACAAAGCCTCACTATCTCATAACTGAGCATTATTAAAAATTACATTCAGCAGTTTAAAACAACTGAATGTCTTTATTACCTGAGAAGACAGTCCATTATTGATGGCAGAGTTGGCGTGACTGTTATGAGGTCCAAATGTATCTGAATATCCTGCGTAACCATGGCGACTGGAGAGACAGTAGGAAGCCCCGCCCTCCTGCCCCGCCCCTCCAGCACTCTGATGGCCTGCAGGCAGCGGGAGCGGCTGAGGTCTGCGTACAGTACTCGAATCTGAGAACACAAACACTCATTAATAGAATCTATCCGGAAACATTTTATATGCCAAAGTGGGTTTAAATACAACATGTTTACCTTGAGAAAGGCCAGCGGGTGGGTACGGGCTCTCTGACAGCTGATACGGGGAGAGACTGGACACAGCCACATGTGAAAAACCACCAGGGATCAGGTGATTGAACGGCATGAGCTGATTGGCTCCCGCTTGCTTCCTCCAACGAGCTCGTCTGTTACTGAACCACACCTGAGAAAAGACAAATGTAGGAGTGTAATGAAATAGTTTTTGGTTTTGTCTGTTGTTTTGGAATGTGTGTGGGGTGTATTTGTACCTGCACTCGTGCCTCTGTGAGTTTGGCTCT